CGCAACCCCATATATAAAAAGAATACATAAAGGAATCCTAGACATGATCCTAGCTAACTTAAGAACGTACCTAAAAGGTTTGTTTGAGGGAAAAGCGGATCACTCTTCAAAATAAAATCTTCTTTTTTAATAAGCCAACTTTTTTTCCGGATAAGTAATGCGTAATAACTAAGATCCTTTTCTTTTTCCTCAGTTAGCTATCAAACCTAGAGCTTGCAACAGAAGAAACTAAGAGCTAATTGATATAGAAAGGAGGGTTTGTTGTAGACTTGTAGCAACTTTAATGAACAAGCTGTGTGGTTCAAGAAGAAACAACTCCTATTGGCTAATTAAGTGACAGTTGATTAAAATTATATCACTAATCACATGGGGTTTGGTCAACGAAATATAACTAATTTATATTGATTAACAGTAACAGTTGATTTTCTTCCTATGAAACTTGGTAGGTATTCTTTTAATTAATATTGATAAATGATTTCCTTTCTGTATAATTTGGCAGGTATGATTTTGGACGAATATAATAGGGATTTGGCTTAATCATACAGATGCGAGATTGACAATCATCCCTTTAAATATTTTATATATTTGGAAAGTTTTTAACCCACACGCATGTGAGTAGACCTTTCAAATAATTCGTGCGGCTTACGGCAAGGGTTAAGGCCGAAAGGTGCCTCATCTGGCGCCATATGTAATGCCTTTGAATGCATGCAATTATTTGTTTACGTTTAATTTCTCTGCACTACTATTATTGGATCGATCAAGCAGAAGAACCTTCGTGGCTCATGACTTATAACTAAAAAAAAAAAAAAAGCATTATTGCATCTTTACCCAATTCTGCCGAACTACAGGGGTACACAGCATGCACAAGTTCTATGCCAATAAGATAAAACATGAAATTTAAGAAGTACATCGCACATCGGTGCAATTTATTGACGAGGTATGGCAGGTTGTCATCCATATGGGTGACCTAAACCCTAGGGATGGCAAAGGAATGGGTTACGAATCTTCGGATCAATTACAAGTGACAGGAGTTTTGCATTAGAGCCCTTGAACCGTTCCCCTTTTTTTTCTGTTTTGAGCAAAGGTTGCAAATAAGAGCAAACCCAAAAGAAGGAACAAGGGAAAAAGTAGGCTAGTGGATAGGATATGGATTACTCTTACTTTGGATATATACAAGGCAATTGGATAGTGCCTTTAGGAAGATTTGATAGAAATTTAAGCGGGGGGAAATGAATCACCCTTATCTAATAAATTTGGTTTGGCAAGGGAATCAGGTCCTCATCGAATATTGGCCATATTTCAAGGGTGAATAACAAACGTCTCTACAACTACCAAATGCCTCAATGCAAGAAACATAGAAAACTCGATAACTCAAACGATCACAAGCTCTAGAAACTGTGAAATCCCAAATTAATGATTTACTTGATCTTGCTAAACATATCAAACTGGGCGGTAAGAGACAATAGGACCCCCAATCGGTTGACATTAAAGCTAGACTACAAAAGCAAATCCAATATACATACCAAAGTAACTATTCTATTTTTACTAGTACAATTTTGGTCGTTAACGACATTATGCAGAGGACGGTTGTTGATAAAACTTCGTTTCGGTTTTTCGAGATGACATATTAGGCCTAAAAATGTCGTTCAATGAGGTGCAAAAGGAGTGGAAGATAGATTTCCTATAGACTTCCTTGTAGTTTTGGTTCTCCAGACGATGGTTTTATGGCACTGTCGAATGCCGATATGTGACAAAGGCAAAAAAGTTGAAAAACAGGGAGGGGCTCCGTGTATTGTTCACATTTAAATGAGCTCCCCACCTCAATTTTTTTTTACGAGTAAAGTCTTTCTCCTTTTTCAGTTTATCAGACACATGCAACCAAAAATCTCCAATCTACTAATTGTAGATCAAACGCCACAAACCAAGTCTCACCTTCTCGATGTTATTCTCGAAGATTTCCATACTACCCAGTGCTACTTTATCAATACCAGACGATAGTTTAAAAGTATCATGTAAGACCTTTTTTGTACTATTGTTTTAGTACTTATCTCACATTTGAGGATTATGATATCACCCTTCTAGATTTAAGGAGTTTTATATTTATACCAATTAGATATTGGTTTAATAGTACTTCTCTTTTCAATATTAAAACAGTCTGCAATTTGAATCATCGTAAACCATTGATAAAAATAAAAATAAAGAATTTATATTTATTAAAATATTGTGGAGTTGTTTCAATATATTTAGGCGTCAAACACAAATTTCTAGATTTAAGTTTATTAACTAGACAAGGAAGAACATAAGCTAGTAGTTGTAACCTTACAATCTAGTTTATGTGAAAACAAGTGTTGTGAAAGTCGTTTCGTACTTGTCAAGCAAGGTTTATATTATAGCGTGTTTGATTAATTTGTAATCCTTTTATCATTCTAACTAATGATATCTGAACCCTCGTTTCATGCTCAATTCATATATGTTTATATTCATTTTATTGTTCAGAGACACTCAATTGAATTAACATATGAATTACAATGATTATGCCTTCGCTATTGAAGTCAGGACCACCACGTAAAACGTAAATTAACATAAATATATTTAATATTTTGGAGTAGCAATTGTTATGGTTTGTATTTTGGTGTAAATTGTAATGGGAATGTAACGATTTAACAGCATGTCTTACTTTATCTTACTTTATCTTACTTTCTTGTTTGTACACGTTCTTTGAACAGCTTACACACAAAAAAAAAACTTATTTGCTCGAAATAACAGAAAATTAATAGTACAAATAACAATTCACGAGTTAAATATATTCTATGAGACTAATAGCTTTAGTGATTAAAAACAATTTATTCATGCATATGAGGTTGAGTCACTTTTTCCTAATATGTTGTTGTCTGGGTATGAAATAGTAGCTTGGGACGAGAATGGGTTAAACCAAACTGAAAAACCACAATACTCATACCAGTAGGCTTTTAGCCCAAGAAAGGGTTGATTCGACCGAGACTTGTATGAGGATTAAGATCATATGTGCTTCAATCGAGTCTTAGGCAAATTGAAATTGCTAAGGATCATAATAAAGCAATGATTAGATGCGAATTATCCCAAGGATTAGAATCCATTCTTGATCAGATAAGAATGAATTACTCACATAATGGGGTCAAGATAATCCTAGTTGGAATAAAAATAAAAATAAAAAGCCGAGACTGAATGAAGAAGAAGTCTTGGCTAAGAGGGAAATTAAAGAGATAAGGGAATATCCAAGTAAATGCCGAGAAAACACAGTCTTATCAGGACTTTACTGTGATAGACTTGTTTATCATGAAGGTTATCCCTATAAATAGGAGAGGTTCTGAGATGTGAAAACCCCTTTCAACACAACAAACAACTCAAACGCTTTAAGAAAAATACTATCCATTCTAAACCTCTGGTCAACACACCTTCAGTTTGGATTAGCAGCACTTTATTGGCAACTGGCAACATCTTCAGTTTGGATCAACCGCACTAAAGAATCAAGCAATTTAGGAGCATCTTCAATTTGGATTAACATCATTGCTTCTGGTTGGTTGGATATCTATCTAAGTCTCAGCCAATGAAGAATTATTAATTCTTTCACCCAAAGAGGTCACTTCATTAGCTTCCCAACAAAGTGAAGTGTTCTATGATTGGTTACTCTCAGGTGCATTTTGCAGTTCGGCATTTAGACGACCAAACCACATTCACCATAAGAGCACTCATCTTCTTTGAGTACTTGTGTCCCTACAGCCTAATACAGATTTGGCATGCCTATATTCTTACGAATATAGCTAATGCAACCGACCATGGTGTAGGAGATCCTGAACTTTGCAATGAACTAGGCAACCTTGTTTTCAGGTTCTCGAACCCCAGGCAGAGAGGTGTTCCTTCCTCGGCCATAGTCGCTCAAGTGCGGAAGTCAGTAGCATTCAACACCACCACCACCACATCTATTCTACTCGCCCTACCAAGCTCGCTTGCGAGTTGGCACGCTTGCATTCACAAGAATGACGTAGTTAACTCATAGTTACTCGACCTGCGAGCCTCGTAAACTTTGTAATTTTTAGGATCAACAATTGTATAAAATGAGAGAAGTAATTTTCACACACCAATAGCTTCATGCACACTCATCCTTTATTTCCAACCGTCAAAATAAATAATTAAACCAAAACAACATAGAAGATTAAACATGTGTGAGGCTAAAAATTTGCATTTATTACTCTGATTGGATAAGGAAATGTAAGATAAATAAGGAATTCCAAAATGACATAAATAGAAATGACGGAATTTTTTTTCTTCTAGAATTTATGAATTTTCTTGTTTGTTAACCTATTAAAACAATGGTTGAATACGGAATTTAATGTGTGTACAGAGTCCTTAATATATAAATGAGAGATAGTAGTTAGAAAATGTGCTTGCAGGTGGTGTGGTGGTGGCAACGATGATGATGGTTGGTGGTGGTGGCGATAATGATGGTAATGGGTAGTGGCAGGGACCATAACAGTATATGGTGGCGACGATAGTCGTGATGGTGATGATAATGGTGGGTGGGTGGGGGCGGTGGTGGTGGTGGTGATGTGTAATAGTGGTGGCAACTCATGGTTAAGTTTTTTTGTATTTTTTAGTTTTAAACCGTTATTCATAGAAATTTAGAAATAACACATATTTACATATAATTTAAACATGAGAATAGGAGGGTCCCAAATTTTATAGTTTTTTTCTCACGCGAAAATTCTAAATTTTTTTGTTTATAAATCCAAACAAAAAAATTGATGCATATAAATTTATAAATTATGTATTTTGTCCAAATTGTAAGTTTGTTTCCCTTGTGCAATTGCAACCATAGTGTAAAAGAAAGCTTGGCTTGACGTTGTTATTAAAGGTGCCTGAACGACGACATTATTGTTGCTGTCGTTTGATTGAAGCAACGGACGACATCATCACCTTCAAAGCATTCTTAAACCCTCTACTTGAAAATCCGAACCACGGCTATGGAAACCATCCATCGATTCTCGCTTCGTCTCGGCCCGATTTGTCTAGCTACCGCCCCGATATTTCTGAACTCCCGAATCATCTCTTTGAATCCCGGACTTCCAAACCCGGATCCAGTCTTCAACACCCATTTCACGATCCGGAAAAAGTTCAGCTCAACCTCTTCTCCCGTCGCCAAAGCCGGTTGGCTTCTGGGTCTCGGAGGAGAGAAGAAGAAGAAGAGCATCAGCATGCCCGATATAGTGAAAGCAGGTGACCCGGTTTTGCACGAACCGGCCCGAGATGTTGAGCCCGGGGATATTGGGTCGGAGAGGATCCAGAAGATAATTGATGATATGGTGAGGGTGATGCGGAAGGCTCCTGGGGTCGGTCTTGCCGCTCCTCAGATTGGAATTCCCTTGAGGGTCAGTTTTGGTATTTTATCTTAAAGGCTCAAGTTAATCACTGACTATTTATTAAACGGTACACTAGTAATATCACTGTTTCCTAAATTAAACACTTATTATTTCTCAAACGGAACACTAATACTATCACTATTTCTTAACTGAACATTGACTACTTCTTAAAATGAACATTATTTCTCAAATTAAACACTGACTATATCTTAAACCGAACATTAGTACATCACTATTTTATAAATTGAACATAAGTACTGTCACTATTTCGTAAACTAAACACTGACTATTTCTTAAACGGAACACTAGTACTATCACTGTTTTGTAAACTAAACACTGACTATTTCTTAAATGGAACACTAGTACTATCATTGTTTCATAAACTAAACACTGACTATTTATTAAACGGAACACTAGTACTATCATTGTTTTGTAAACTAAACACTGATTATTTCTCAAACGGAATACTAATACTATCACTTGTTCGTAAATTAAACATTGACTATTTTTAAAATCGAACACTAATACTATCACTATTTCGTAACTAGAACTATCATATTCGTGTTTGTTATTTGACATTGACTTTCCTTTAATTTTTTTTTTCCACACAAACTGAGCTTCTCTCTTCATTTACGCATACAAAAATACCCACATCAGTTTTGGTCGCCCACAACCCAGACCAAATTGAACCTAGCCCACCCCTTGTAAACCCACCGAGATGCGAGTTTGAGAGAGTCACAAGAACAACTTTAGCAGAATTTGTTAAGAGTTTTACATGCTGACATTGTAACCCACATCAATTTTAGTGCATTGAGTGCCCTTTAACTCCACATCACCTTGCCAGTGAATCAGTTTCTGTTGCCATTGCGAATCTATCGGCGGAGCCCCAAATCACCCACTTTGACAAATCCAGTTCCACCGAATCAACCTCCCTCCCTCCAAATTGAAATACAAACCCTCTTATGTGATGACTCACCAACCTCGGAGTAATCAAATTTAACACCCCCGTTGACCTCAAGAAATGATTCAGGATTTGGAAGCAAACGAGAAGCAATCCGGGATTAGAAAATCAAATCACAGATGAACAAAACCCATAATTTATCTGTGTTCTTCTCTCTCTCCTCTCTTTATTTGCGCACTAAATCAGTTTCCCATCATCAACTTGAAAAATCGAAGTGGAGTTGCAGATAGAAAGTTAGAGAGAGAAAGTGAGAAAGAGAGTGGGGGAGCGCGAGAGGGAGCTCATGGGATTTATGGGTTGTTGGGGGTGAATATAAAGAATCGTGACTTTTTCAGCTCTCTGACAAGGGCAAAAGTAAACTGACGGAATAAAACGAAACTGACTTAACCTAAAACGTTAGGGGCAAAATCGACAAGTAATGGTATTATTTTGGTTGGGCCATTGTAGTTGGACTGCTTTAGTATTAAGCTTTGTACTAACCATTAAATAAAGTTGTAACATGTTTTTTGGTTAAAATCCAAAGTTTTCAAGCCTTTTTCATTAGTTTTCCTTTTAAACTATCATTCATAGAAATTTAAAAATGACACATATTTACATAGAATTTAAACATGAGAATAGGAGGTCCCAAATTTTATAGGTTTTTTCTCACGCGAAAATTCTAAATTTTTTTTTTATAAATTCAAACAAAAAAAAATTGATGCATATCAATTTATAAACCAAATTGTAAGTTTGTTTCCCTTGTGCAATTGCAACCATAGTGTAAAAGAAAGCTTGGCTTGACGTTGTTATTAAGGTGCCTGAACGACGACATTATTGTTGCTGTCGTTTGATTGAAGCAGCGGACGACATCATCACCTGCAAAGCATTCTTAAACCCTCTACTTGAAAATCCGAACCACGGCTATGGAAACCATCCACCGATTCTCGCTTCGTCTCGGCCCGATTTGTCTAGCTACCGCCCCGATATTTCTGAACTCCCGAATCATCTCTCTTTGAATCCCGGACTTCCAAACCCGGATCCAGTCTCCAACACCCATTTCACGATCCGGAAAAAGTTCAGCTCAACCTCTTCTCCCGTCGCCAAAGCCGGTTGGCTTCTGGGTCTCGGAGGAGAGAAGAAGAAGAGCATCAGCATGCCCGATATAGTGAAAGCAGGTGACCCGGTTTTGCACGAACCGGCCCGAGATGTTGAGCCCGGGGATATTGGGTCGGAGAGGATCCAGAAGATAATTGAGGATATGGTGAGGGTGATGCGGAAGGCTCCCGGGGTCGGTCTTGCTGCTCCTCAGATTGGAATTCCCTTGAGGGTCAGTTTTGGTGTTTTATCTTAAAGGCTCTATTTTTTTTTTTTTTTTTTTTTTTTTTTTTTTTTTTTTTTTTTTTTGTTCTTCTGTTTCATTAATTTCTGTTTGGCTGCTGAGAAAATGTGGAAAGAAATGTAAAATGTAGCTTTCTTTTTCACCCTGCGTTGGTTCTTGCGAGTAAAATTTTTAGACAAGCGATAGTCTGCACTAAATTCGTTCTAAACTACGGGGAGGGGGATTCGAACTTGAGGACAGGGACGGGGATTCGAACTTGGCTAAGCCCATGTCTGCAGATAGATAGACCTTTTAATGGTAAATAATCAAAGCTTAGTTCAATTTAAGCTACATTGCTGATTTTAGTGATGTTCCTTTTTTTATTACGGTTACAAAAATTGATACTTTCTTTTTATTTTGGTGGAATGTATAGCTTAACTAACCAGTTTTAAATTTTCGTTGAAGATTAAACTTTCGTTATTCATGAAAACCTAGCATTCCGTAAAACGAAGGTAACAACTCTGTCTTGTCATCCGTGCAGATAATAGTTTTGGAAGATACAAAGGAATATATCAGTTATGCACCTAAGGAAGCCACTGCAGCTCAAGATAGACGACCTTTTGATCTTTTGGTATGTTAAGTATCTGTGAGAGAGGTGAACATCCGAATGACGTATTGAATCTTAAGATTGAAAATGTTACACTTGACTATTCCAATTTATTTGTTATTTTTGAGGCAGGTGATTCTTAATCCGAAGCTTAAAAAGAAGAGCAACAAGACTGCAGTATTCTTTGAAGGGTGCTTAAGGTAACGGATACAATGTTTTTCTATTTTAGCTAGAAATGAGAGAAATCTATGGTTGAGGTCGGAAGAAATAGTAAATGAACCATCCCCATCAGAGACGACACAGAATTTTCCTTAATGCCCTGTTCTTCTCGTAAATGGATAGTTGAGAACAATAGCTTTGTTGGGGGTTTGGATGTTACAGAGGCGTGGCAGTGATTCAAGTTACATAAGTTTCTTTATCATTCTCAACATTTGTATCTACAGTGTTCTTGTTAGGAATTTTCAACACCTATTCTCTGCAAAACTATACAGAATTGGTTCCATATGGTTACTGAATGCTCCCTTGTTTTGCGAGATATGATCATATGATATGAATAAAGTTTATGTTCTATACCATCACCTTGGATGCCACTGAACTACCACACGGTGAATTTTGAACCTGTCTCAATGCTAAACCGGGACTTAGTCATAGGGCATGTGAAACTATAGTTGACAACCTCGGGTGTTTGTAGTATTCGAGTCCCTCAATTAGAGAATTCCATCTCAGTTAACAAATTGATAGGAAACATGACGCTACTGCATTATAAGTGTTCCTCATTTGTAAATAGTTTTCATCTCTAAGGTTGAAATTTTTATAGTCAATCTTAATTGAGACTGTGAAAGCGAACATAGGATTTCATCATGGACCCTTGTTTATTTTGCTTGTGTTGGGTGCTCGACTTACTCGAGTTCACACCTTTCTAATATTGTGTTTTTAGAATTTTTTTTTAACTCAAGTTACTATGTCCATGGAAACTAGAATCGCCTACTGTCGATAATATGTAATTTTACTGTGATATTTTGCAGTGTCGATGGATTCAGAGCAGTGGTGGAGCGAAACCTTGATGTTGAGGTTTCAGGTTTTGA